CTTGAAATAGCTCCTCAATTATAATCACGAAGCTGAGTGCACCCCGTTCCAGACGCACTACTTCTCAGAAAAAATCTGGTAGCGCCGGGAATCGAACCCGGACCTCTGGATCTGTAGCCAGGAACGCTGACCACTAGACCACAGAGCACTACTGATTTTTATAATTTGTACTTCTCGAAAACAGCACAGTCAAGTAAAGATGTGACAGCTGGGCAGGACATGCAGCACGTATGGGAGTGACAAGAAACCTGTACACAATTTCGGCAAAGAAACATATCAGAAGAAAATACTTTAAGAACCTAGACATAGATGGTAGGATATTATTTAGAATGAACTTTAAGAAATACGATATGATGGTGTGGACTATATTATGCCGCTCAGCATATATTGACTAGGTGAGCAATTATTAGGTTCTCTAGAAGTACTCTGCTGAATAGTGTTGGCTCCCCTTAGTTAAAATGGGACCATGTAGTGGAAATAAATTGTTTAGAAAATAACAAGCCTTTTTTCCCCCTGGTTCTAACCATAGATTTCACAGGTTCATTTCTATCGCGAGAGATTGGTTTTATTTCTAGACATTAGCGGACGAAATGTTTTCCATGGACTCCAATAGTTATCAAAAGGCTTGGAAATTAAATTCCATTCCCAAGCTTCAGTTGTTACCTACAACGTAACGGCCAATATTTATTTATTTTCATTTCAATGAAAATGCAAATCGATTGCAGCGTAATCAATTGTTGCCAAGATAGTTCCATAGAAACACAGCAGAGCCTAACAGCCAAGAAATAAAGCAACAATTTGCCGAACTGAAGCACGTCTCGACTGATCTCATTTTTCAATTATTTCACGTTTGCCCAAAAATACTCATTTGAAGAAAGCAGTCTTCTGGGATTTGGCACCGTGTATATGTGGTGTTAACCGACGTTTCGGAGGAACGTATCGCCTCCATCTTCAGGGTAGAAGGGAAAATATAAGAAATCCTTCCTCCGAAACGTCGGTTAACACACATATACACGGTGCCAAATCCCAGAAGACTGCTTTCTTCATATTGAAATGAATCTANCTTAGTATAGTAGCTATTCCGACAAAAAGTCGAAGTTGGTATCTCATAACCACAAGTCTAGATAGTCATGCTTACGCTAACCTCTTCCTTCATATGCATATTGCTTATATGTATGTGATTTACCTACAGATTTCAGTAAAAAGGCTAAATATTTTAGTTATTGTTAAATGCCTTGTTGGTAGTGCTAAAAAATAAAGAAAAAAACAATAACGAAAATTCCCTCATTTTCATCTAAATTAATTCATTAAAGCTATCCCTGCAACAGGGCACGAATGGGGGAGAAGAGGAATGCGTATAGGACATTGGTGGGATAGCCAGAAGGAAAGAGACCACTGGGAAGACCAAGGCACAGGTGGGTGAACAATATTGAAATGTAAGATTTGAGGCTTTCACGGCGGTGACTATGAAGAAAGCAGTCTTCTGGGATTTGGCACCGTGTATATGTGGTGTTAACCGACGTTTCGGAGGAACGTNATTGGATTGATCTGGCTCAGGATAGGGACCAGTGGAGGTCTCTTGTGAACACGGTAATGAAACTTTGGGTTCCATAAAATGCTGGGAAATTATTGAGTAGCTGCAGAATTGGCGGCTCCTCAAGAAGGGCTCAGCTCCGTGAGTGAGTAAGTATGAGTAAGTGTCCTTGTAACAAGCCGTGGTGGCCCATAGACGTCGTGGTTTCCAAATTTTCTATACAACGAGCTCACAGATGGCGGTGAGGTTTTCAGCCTTATTCATCGGCCACCCTTTACCCCCACAAAGATTCATGTTAGACGCTGAGTCGATCCCAGGGCCACAATGCGCCTGGAAGGATTAAGTCAACTTAAAAATCCAAAGACATCGAGACTAGAACCCGCGATTTTCTGGCTTTTAGCATAATGCCTCAACCAACTACGCTACCGCATTTTCACCTACTGTACCTAATTTTGAATTGCGATAAACCTAAAAGGGTGTATTATGATCGCTATAACATGGCTAATCACCGAACAGGTTCGTATAAATTTAACGCTCTAAACTTGTTTTAGGGAGAAGAAAGTCATCTTCTGGGATCTGGCGCCGTGTATTCTTTGTTTCAGCCGACGTTTCGGAGGAACGTATCTCCTCCATCTTCAGGGCAGGTGAATTGTGTTGCGAATACAGAGAGCAGTAGCTGTAATTATTAGGAAGTGAAAAGCGCTGCTTTATATAGGAAGGGAGGTTCTCGGTTCGAATTTTGGCCGAGAAGCCGCCTATCCTGACTAAGATTCTTAGTTTTTTACAGTCCCTTCATAAAAATGCCGAGGTATCACCTAGATTTGGTCATGACCGCTTCGTTCCAAATCATTTCCAAGCCATCATTCATCTGATATCTTACCGTCCGGCGCTATGAACTCGCATAGTGAAAACACTTCACTCCCGCCCGGTTCCGGCTATAAATTTCTTGCAACGGATCTGTTCTAGATGCTAGTGTACTGGGCTTATTTTACTGTGAGGGATATTTACGCACCTGACTAAACCTCAACCTGAAGGAGTATCCTTTGTTGGTTATCCGTTGCTGCGTATTCAGTATATTCCCACTGTCCTTCACGTGTCGGTGCCGTCTCCTCTATAAACAACCTGAGGACGTGCAGCGCCGTGGAGACAAAGGACCCACTTATCATGGGAAAACACAAAGACCGTCAGAGTACTTGACTGTGTTAATTTCATAAGGCAATGAAGAAATGTACATAGACACAAATAAACTGTGCCACACGTACCCGTCACAAAGCTAACATGTGTGAAGAGTCAAGGGAATTCAGGTAAAGGATCATTCGATCTCATTTTGAAAATCAGAATTATTGGAAACAGCAAAATGAAAATTCTATGTGCCTGATTTAATTTTAAGCTACAGATAATATTTCCGTAGAAGTAACAATATTTCCAGCAGGGAGTTGCTACGTATTTCGGCACATATCTGCCATCTTCAGGTCCGCTTTTCAACTATAATTATTTATCAAGTACTGGGCGCAAATTTACAGGTAAGCCGAGCGGATCCATCCGTGTTTTATACACTGTGTATAACGTGTGCTATGGTGTGTTCGCTTTTGCGTTAAGTACATGACATAACAAATGTAATTAAAAACCGGACCTGTAGATGGCACACTCGTGCCGAAACATGGCTTCCTAGACAGCAACACACCTGCTGGAAATAGTGTTGCTTTTACAGAGAATACAATAAACGTCATCTACAATAATCTACACAACCGGGTGCAACAAAATATAAGTAAATTTAAGCAGCAGTTTTACCTATAGTATGTACAGTCGTGAAGAGTTGTGTCTTAGCCTGGTGGAGGAAAGTAAATTTCAGGATCTAGAGGAAAACAAGGGCGAACACAGTGGCCTCATGGTCTAAGACATGAACTGCCTTCGCCCACTCGAACATTGAAATCGTGGGTTCGAATCCCACTTGAGGCATGGGTATCTGTGTGCGTTTATTCTGTGTTTGTGCTGTCTTTTGTACAGGTAGCGACCTTAAGACGGGCTGATCCCCATCCAAGGAGTCTTACTGACTGTGTAAAAAGATCACTTTTTCAGTGTAAAACTCAAGGAACTGAAAAAAGATCCAACAAAGGGCTGTAGAGCCATAGCCTGAGAGAAGAAAACGAGAAAGTTATGACGGAAGTATTTGCACCTGAGACGGTGGAGGAGGGTTACAGTACCTCCAGCGTAGCCCGGCGAAACCTAGAAGGGGCCGAAAAGAGAATCCAGTGCCTGGGGGTACAGCTGGGCCACCCTGTCACTGCGGCACACAAATACAGAGACCTCGCTATTCGGGTCGGGGGGTTGGGGAGGTTGGACGCAAAACTGACAACCTAGCTCTCTAAGAAAAATTACTGTTGCGATATTCAAAGAAGCGGAAACCAGATGGTATATACCACGACGCAACAAAGAAGTCTGGCAGAATCTTCTGAGGAAGGCTGTGGTTCAAGAAGGGTTGTTTTGTCAGTGATGATGATGAGGGTCGAATTAAGTGGGGATGCACTATGTGATTCACATATCTCTTCTAGAATTAGGATATGTAACTTGGACGAAGACCGGTCACGGTAGCCGAGCGGTCTAAGGCATGTACTGTCTTCGCTCGCTTGGAAACCGGGATCGTGCGTTCAAATCCCTTTCAGGGCATGGATGTTTAGTTTGTGTGTGTGCGTTTTTCTGTGTCTTTGTACAGGTAGAGGCCTTGCGACGAGCTGATCACCCGCCCAAGGAGTCCTACGGAATGTGTAAGATCTAGAAAAACCCTAAGTGAACGGAGAAGTTCATGGAGGTAGGCCTAGGCCCACTGGGGCTGTAGTGCCAAGGAAAAAAAAACTTGGACGAGCAAGTACATTAATGCAAAATGCTGGTAGTCTCTTGGAAAATCGAGGCTGAAATTAAAACCGAATCTTAGAGACGTAGCTTGCCGGAATATGAAGTTCATTCGACTCATTAAGGGCCGGATGCTTATGTAAGCGAATTTGGATTTGTGTTATGTCAGTATTAAGGTACGAGTATTATTGTAAGTTGAGAACCGTAACATTTTCATATTAATTTTAAAGCAGCGATTCTGCCAGTAGTATTGTTTAGTGCTGAAGCTTTGAATTACCTGTCAGTATAGCTATAAATCACTTGTAAGTTAGGTGGGGTAGAATTTTCCCGCTCTGCGATTTCAGTGCGTTTAGTACACCAAATTATTTCTCAACGGAAATACGTGAGATTGTTTGGAATCAAACAGCACAATGGAACTGAAATTGAAATAACTACAAGTTGTCAGCAAAATAATTCCGTTATGTGTATAGCTTGCAGTGCTTTTCGTCAAGAGACGAATGTTTTAAAACAGGCAGTAAGTTGGCACACTTCTCCCCTGTGGGAGGAATCGACTGCTCCAACCAGGCGCGTTCCCAGTGGCAATTGTCGGAACTAGCTTGCCGCTGTCTGACGATCAGTTCCGATCGGTGTAGTAGAAAACGTGCTCCGTGTTTGTTTGTGGTGTGATTTTGTTTGAAGTTTACTGAATCAAAGGAGCATTTCTTCGGTAAGTAATTACGGCAGTTTTATGTATGTAATAATTAAATTTTCTGTGTGTTAGTAGTATAACTTTCTTATGTCATAATTGTCTATTATTCACAAGAAGTTGTTGTAGTCAGTTGCTGCTGCTAGTATTCTCGCTGGCTAGCGTTTTCATTCAGCGGGAAACGCTTGGCGGGCGGTGTTTATCGTTATGACAGAAGAGAAGGCCATATTGCACTATAACAACCAATAGGAGCATATTGAAAATATTTATCTTTCTTTACTGCACGTGGTCTTAAATTACGAGCGTTTAAAATATAATTAATGGAAATGTATGCAGATATTCTAACGGGGTATGGAGAACAATTTATAAAGCTAACAAAGCTAAGCTTCATGTGAAGTAATTTATGTAACTAGGTTAAAGCGTATAGGATATTGGTGGGAAAGCCGGAAGGAAAGAGACTACAGGGAAGACCAAGGCGTAGGTGGGTGGACAATATTAGAATGGATCTTAGAGAGATAGGATGGGATGGATTGGATAGATCTGGCTCAGGATAGGGACCAGTGGAGGGCTCTTGTGAACTCGTTGATGAACCTTCGGGTTCCATAAAATGCTGGGAAATTCTTGAGTAGCTGCTGAATTGGTGGCTCCTCAAGAAGGGCTCAGCTCCATGAGTAAGTGATAAGTAAGTAAGATAAGTAAGTGATAAACATTATAGGAGTTCTGTAATCAAAGTGTGGGTACAGAATTAAGACAATAGTTTGAGTGATTGTTTACTTCGGAGGAAAGTCAAACTAGGCCCAATAAAAGTGAGACTAAATTTAAATTATTAAGCTCGCAAATGCAGCAGTTTTTTTTTTTGGTGATAATATTCCAGTGTATATAGCATAATGTAATTATGGCCACATTTTGCCCATGTTTTTGCAGTTAGTTTGGGGTAAATTTAGATAGTCAGTTACCATAAAATGAACAGACTTTCATATATGTGGAGTTTAATAGCAGATTACTTAGAAGACCCTGCAGATATGTATACAATTAATTCACGTTAACGTCAAACTGTATAACACGTACACAGTAATAATTTGCAGACTCTGATTTAGTGAATATTTGTTGTAGCCGTGATAGGCATTAATTTCCCCGGTTATTCTACAGTCAAACCGTGTGAACAGGCGAGGTGGAAAGGATTGTTGTAGTTTCCCTGTGTAGGCTGTGAGAGTGTTCCGTAAGCTGTCAAATTGGGGTATGAAAAGTTCGTGTTAGGAGACTTACTTGCTGCCGGTGTTAGTTTTTCACTGAAAATGGAAACGAATGATTTTGCACCATCCAGTGTGACTCAAATATATATTTATGTATATGAATGCCTTTACATGATTTGGTTAGTTATGACCATCTTCAGAAGGCATGACAACATGTTGAGGAAATTACAATTACATTGAACATAGTACATCAAATGGAATCAAAGTTTTATATAAAGATTTTAATTAAGACAAATTGTTGTTGAGTTAAAATTATTAAAATTCTTAATATTTCAAATCTTAAATCGCTGAGGTTCGTGTCTTCGTGCCTGTCGGCGGGAGATTAGGGTGATATTGCCGTCCTTAAAGGTCCAGGCCGTGGCCCCCCCCCACAATTTTTATTATAGTTGATTAAGAATCTATATGTTGTTAGGCTGCTACTCTTTTCGTTGTGTGTGAGGCACAATTTTTATTTGCGCAAAAGCAGATAAACAAGTAAGTGTAAGTTTTGAGGTTTTCACGGCGATGACTATGAAGAAAGTCGTCTTCTGGGATCTGGCGCCGTGTATTCTTCGTTTTAACCGACGTTTCGGAGGAACATATCGCCTCCATCTTCAGGGTAGTTGAGTTGCGTGCGAATAGCGATAGCTGTAGCAGCAATTTGCTGCAATATGACACACAGTGATCAGTGAACACTGAATTGGTAAGGATGTCGGACGAAGCGCTCGTGGCCTATTGTTAGGTACTATCCCGGGATTTGCCTGGAGAGACTGAAGATGGTACGGAAATCCTCAGCCACAGTAGTCCGAATCCTGACCAAGATTCGAACCTGACCCCTCCCAGGTAAAACCCAGGAGCTCTACCGTCCGACAGGAATACTTTTAATATAATCACTCAGGCAGGTTCAAACTTAAAGGGGAGCGACCAAGGCGGTCGCCCCGAGGCTTTCTCAGAAAATTAGAATCCAGAGATTGTATTGAGACACTTGGTTTTCTAAAATCACGAAAAGTTGATTTATACTTTTAGTTATAAGAAATAAGAACAGAAACGTTGTTATAACCCAGAATTGTTGTTACTGATACGGGCCCCCACAACTATAAACCCGGCTCTGTATTCAGGATATTGAGAAAGGAAAGTGAACCCCCAAAATGCAATCCCATTAACCTAATGCGACAGCCACAAAGATTACCAACTAGATATGAATGTTCAGATCTGGTTTAAGGAAAGTTGAGCATAATTTATGTTGAGAAATTTTGCGAATACGGTGACATTAGAATGGTTTGAGTTGTGACTGATGGACGGGCCTACCAGTATACGAAACAGAACTTTACGAAGCAGATTCGATTTAGCTTTTTTTTTTGTATCTAGCAGCTAAACTAAAAAAACTGAACTCCGTAGCTTGAGTTCGCAACCGAACTATACCGACTGAGTGACCGCCGTTTGTCCGCGAAGTTAGTGCCAACTTTTGCGGATAGAGGGTGTCGCGTGGTCAGCGGAACGAATCCGCACCGCCGTTTATTTCGGTTTTCTAGACCGCAGCCGCTATTTCCTTGAAATAGCTCCTCACTTATCTTCACGAGGCTGAGTGGACCCGTTCCACACCCACTACTTCTCAGAAAATCTGGTAGCGCCGGGCATAGAACCCGAACCTCTGGATCTGTAGCCAGGAACTCTGACCACTAGACCACAGGGGCAGTCCAATCTAGCAGCTGCAACACCAAAATTCAGCTGCAGGTCACCGAATTGTGAAGTTGCTACTTCTTACACTGGAACAGTTATCGATCTAGTTTTATTAGCCTACTTTTCTTATTCTGAGAAAATAAAAGTAGGCTTGTGAGATCACCATGCTGTTTGTGTCCCTGTGTAACCCCCCCCCCCCCCTTTTGAAACTGGTTTGTATATCATGGCACCTGAACCCACCAGTCTCTGTGTGTTTTTCCCTCTGTCGTTACTAGACAGCGACTCGGTAAAAACGTTACCGCGGCAACGAATACACACACAACAACAGAACAATTGTTTGACGCGTCGTTTACTATGCTGTTCGTGTCATATCGAAGGAAAGAAGGCTATTATTTCTCTCCAAAACTTTTTGTTTATTGATGTTTCGTTAGAGAGGGGATTCGCATAGGGCTTGCAGGGATCGACTACATTAGTCTGTTTGACTAGAAAGTTTCAACGTCATTTTTTACCAGTTTGTAGTAGAGGCGCGGACTATACCGCCCATTGTGGGATTATTATCGGTGTTGTACAACTTCATCTTGTGGAATATTCACTGGAGCATACAGCGGCTTGCTTACAAGTGACATTTTGTAACTGTGGCAACGTCCCTACAGGTATTTCAGCTTTTTGTTAGAAAGGGAAATAAACTGTCCCTTAAGAATAGCATATATTTGTGTAAGCCTTTTGGTACAGCAGCTGTACAGAGACCCCCTACGACTAAAACGGAAATATTTAACACAACGGAAATGCGTCTGATTCGCATTCCAGATGTTCTTGGTTCGAAAACCGGACAGGAATCAGCTGTCTTGACGGGGTTTCTTCACATCATGTTGGCAAATGCTGAGACCGTAGCGTCAGTTGGCTTCATCTCCAGCATCCCACATGCTGTGCGATTCATCGTATCCTGGTTCGCGTGACGCAGCATAATCTCAGCCGTTGATATAAAAAAACTCCCTGATTTTAGTCCACAAGCGAACTGTACCGACCGAGCGACCGCCGCTTGTTGGCGAAGTTTGGTGCCAACTTTTGATATAGCATGTCATAATAACCGAATAAGTCTAAATTAAATTTCGAATGTTCACGCGGAATGCCAGGCTTTTGTGTTGACAGTGGTGAACTTGGGAATTATTGTACTGTTTAGAAAACTGAATTTTTAAGTATCTATCAAAGAAGTTGCAGGGTTCTATAACATTATAAAGAAGAACATAAAACTGACTTTTCGGATTGATTCTGATATGCGGTTCCCAAAGCTGGATGTAACAATTTTCCACCACGTCACAGTTTTATGTATTGAATTCTTGTCCAAAGCATTAAGTTATGTTTTTCCTTCAGCTTTCTTTTTTTTCGTAATGTTCTTACAATTTTTGGCTGCCGTAAAGTTAGAAGGAGACCGCCTCTGTGGTCTAGTGGTCAGAATTCCTGTCTACAAAGCCAGAGGTCCCGGGTTCGATTCCCGGCGCTGTCAGATTTTCTGAGACGTAATGGGCCTGGAGCGGGGTCCACTCAGCCTCGGGATGATAATTGAGGAGCTATTTCAAGGAAATTGCGGCTCCGGTCTAGAACACCGAGACTAACGGCCGTGGAGATCCGTTGTGCTGACCACGTGACAGCCTCTATCCGCAAAAGTTGGCACCAATTTCGCCGACAAGCGGCGGTCGCTCGGTCGGTATAGTTCGCTTGCGCACTACAGGCCACGGAGTTTTTTGTTGTAATGTGAGAAGACGATGTTTTAGCAGTTTATTCTCATTTAATTAACGTTATTATTTCAAATTGTGGAATAAACGATATGCATATTCATATCTTGTAGACAGAAAACCCAGAACAAAACAAACGCGCATCTTACAGCTTTTTGATTCTCGTTTTTATATAAAGAGCGTACTGAATTTAGAGAAATGAAGTCCTATTTCGTACATGTTACTGGAAGGAAGAGGAAGTTGGTTTACCCGGAAGGTCGCGTGTTCATTCCCGATGAGGTCACTGGATTTTTCAATCGATCTAATCCTTCCAGCCGCACTATGGCCCTGGGGTCGACTCAGCCTCCAACAGAAATGAGTTCCAGGAATATTCTTC